TATAAGCCCTCGGAATACGAGCCCCTCAGAAGGGCGGCTTCGACAAACGGCAAAAAATATAACTGACTTCCGACAAAACGAGGAAAATATTACTAACTACTGACATTTCCACTTTTTGTCTAAAGTATTTTCCTTGACTTGTTTCCAGCACAGGAATGTCTATTATCGTTCCTTTGTTATGCCGGTCTTGCTTGACTGCTTTTTGTATTAGATTCGTCTCTGTTACTCACTTTCGCTTCGCTTAGTTAAGTATGATTGATTAGCGAAGCTTTACTAAAATGCTGAGCTGCCTTAATATTGAAAAAAAAAAACAGTATTGAACCTCCCATCAGTAATTGTATTTAAATACATATATTTGAGTTTGCAAGACCATGTAATTCCCATATGGTCTAGCGGTTAGGATTCCTGGTTTTCACCCAGGCGGCCCGGGTTCGACTCCCGGTATGGGAATCACAATGTCATTTTTCTTTTCTTTTTTTCTTTTCGTAATCATCAATTCTTTTTTAATCTACCAGAAAGAAAATCATTAGCCTGAATTTCAGACGTCCCTTCGAGTCGCATACAATAATAATCAATAATGCCTAATTTCATCAGCCGCTGCCTCCTTCCCCCAAAAACCGCGGCATCACCGTTGCAAACCGAGAAATTTGATAGATCAAGGGTTTGAAATAAAAACTTGCTGGCGAGGCGATAAACTTGTAAAAACATAGCAATAGCTAACCGCAACACCAACAAATGGTTTGGGGTGTCCGCGCACTAAAATAGAAAATCGAGGAAAAAATAAAAATCCGTTCTTCTTGTAGTTCCACTTAGCTGTGTTTTTTTTTGGCCCTTGTAGTATGAACTGATAAGCTTTCATAAAATTCGCTTTCGTTTTTTGTGATCTATCAATGCAAAGGTAAAGCTGAGCTCTAAAGTTTAGGCGAGTTGTCAAGTCTATGATCCCTCTACAATGAATGTACAGTGCTAGTATAGTCTCAACAAAAAAAGACTTAAAAAAAGACGGTCGGAACAGTTGGCGACAGCATGGAGAACTCTCCGTGTTCCCTCGTAAGCCCGTATTCCTGTTTCTGGAGTCGACCCCACTGGCTGGCCTTCCTGCTATAAATACTACCGAGGGTGAAAAAAGGAATTATCATTAAGACCACCCTTCTAAACTACATTATTCCATGCACGAAGAGAGGTACTGACAATTCCACAGGAAAACATTTTTATTCCATTATTCCTCTTATCACCAGGAAAAATCCAAATTGCATATTTTTGGAGCTAGTGCGATTGTTCGTGCAAGACTGCAAGGTTTCAGCATCAAGCACGAACACGTATAATCCCACGCTAGCCCCAACTCTTAAATAACTTAGAACAAACATTAACTATAGATCTTACAAAAATAATTCACAATTCGTAGCATTAAATAATAACAGTCGCAAAACATATGAAATTAAACTGGGTTGATTTACATTTTCATATTTACACACTTGATAATTTAAATAAATTGAAATGATTTTAAAATTGTCACATACTGAGACTGAGCTGAAATTCAGTTATCAATGAGTAGAGGCGCAAGCTCTAGTTAAGTGCAGCTACCTGAAATAAAAAGTTAAGGGTTGAATTAAGCTTTAAGGCATGCACATAGTGCTTCGTGCATAGTACTGATCTGCCTTGTTAATCCTTAATAACAAATAATTGATTTTAATCAATTTGATTTAAACTTTTTTACCAAGTACAATGAGGAGGAGTAATGTGATAATTGGCAGTTTTGATTCTTAAGTTGCCTGTTCATGGAAATGACAGAGTTAAAATTAATATTGTTACCCACTAGTTACTTATACATTAATCACTGTCCGTAATATTTTCATCAATACCCGAGACAGGTATGGTAGAATACTTAAGGGCGTCGCTGCTCTTGCCACCGCATCTAGGTATACATTGGATACTCAAGGATAGATTTTGAAATTCCTTGAAGAATGACAAGGCATACAGCCCAAAGCACCACGCAGCCAACCATTCAAACAAGTTTCCAACTATCTGTACAGAAGATTCGTGCTTCAAAGAACCATGGTAGGTTAGCCCTTCGCAGATAAAAAATATTAGGGCACTTATTGTAAGAACACATGAAATGACCAGGCGAACGGTGAAGACAGGTCTGCTTTCAGAGCTGAATTTCGTCAGTTGATGGGTGGCGACGGTCTGGGTCCAACAATACCCAGCACCGCTGGTAAAAAGGATCACCGCTCCGATCACGTGAACAATACCAACCGCGTCATCGTTATCCTTGGAAATAATAAATAAAATAAAGTAAATGGTTTTTCCCTAAATAAAATCAGTGAGATCCCCAGATCACAACTTGAGTTTCAGAATTGCCTGCTTTGAGAGAGGCACACAAATAATATTCGACCGGAACTTACATTGTCAACTGAAGAAAGAGATGTTTATTTTCCTATGGATTTGACTGGCCAAATGAGTCAGAAAGGCTGGAATTAAAAAGGAAAGATGATGTGTTCGTGCTTTAAAAATCTTATATGCTGTGTCGTTTCTCAACTTGCAGATTTTAGTAACCAACTTCCCTGCTACAAAGCAGCAACTATGTCTTATAAGAATAACTTCGATGCCGCAGTTGTCAAGTCTATAAGTATCGACAGGTTCTGCCCGCGCAGAAAATAAAGGAGAAGACTAGATCAGCTTCTAGAAGGTCGTGTTGCATTGGGTTAGCTTGTTTTTAGGGTTCGAAAGCTTCCCCGCTAAATAATAAAAATTCCCAGCAAACTGACTAACCGCGCCGGATTAAGGTGCTATGTTGTATGATGAAGAGTAGACCCTCTTGTTTTTGTCATTTTTGTGTTTAAAGCTACGGATCGCAGGGCAACTACAGAACGTGATACACGGACAATATATAATGTGTAGTTTGGTAACTTCAGCTATCATTCACGTCATTTTTATTTAATCTAAGGAAATGAAGGAAGAAAACAGTGTCTATATTAAAGGAACAAATCAAAATCAGTATTGATTTTTGAAGGACGGGGAAGAACTCGATAAATTTAACAATTACATGTAAATTCCGTTTCCTCCCAGCCAGCTGCTAAATCACATTGATAGTTTCATTTGACGTAAACAGCATATTGAATCGAAAAATGTACCAAACTACTGAGAGAGTTAGGAACTGATGACATGGGTCCTGGAATTAAAATACAGATTCTTCAAAAGTATTTGTTTTGGATCATGGAAGTTCAGTTTTAATTAAAAATCCTGATCACCGTACGTTTCTGTTACGAATGCATTCTGTTTCCGTTCAAAGAAACAAAAGATGTTGTCAGCGACCGCTAGTTTCTACAGCCAAGGAAACTGGAGCCTGAAAGGCGAACGAGGAAACGGGATGTCAGAAATTTAAAAAGCACATCCTGCCAGTGATCAGGGTGGAACTGATATTTATTAGTCAAGAGATAATTATCAGAAGTTAAGAATATTTAAAACCTTGTTAGACAGCTGAAGTCGGGCAGTTTATACCTACAGCTGTAGAACTCTTCTAAACTGGCTGTTGACATATGTTTTGATTTTAGAACTGCTAATTTCATTCGTATTTTCTGTATTGTTAGCGCCACACGAAGCCAACGTCACAAACTCTTTTTCAATCGATCGCCAAATTTGAAATCATGTGAATTAAAGACCGGACACAAGACAGATGCTGAAACGTCCACTATTGTCTGCATTGCAATAACAAAAAGGCACAGACAGGATGAATCATATCATGGCCGGGTGCTATTGCTGACACACTGTGTTTAATATTAGAAGCGGGAAGGGGATGGAGTAGGGGGGAGGAGTTGGAGAGCGGCATAAAAAGCACAGGTCACCTAGGATTAGAACCATACGTAGGAAATTAGTTTAGTTTTACAATAAGATTTTTTGCCAGTATAACCTGTTGTTATCGACATCTCTGAACAAAATGCGAAGCTCACCTCTCTGTTTTCTTACCACCTCAAAACTTAATTCCTGCCCTTTTAAAAATATCCTACGAAACAAAAGCTTAGGTTTGTCGCTTTTGTGCTTCTACATGTAAGTTAATTTAAGTTTGAGTTCTCTTGAATTATCAGAATCGATCCGGAAAGCAGAAGCGTTGCTAGTGACTAAATTCTCTTCTCCGAGGAAGGCATCAGAATTTGGCTGGTAAGAAAAGAAATTATCTTGCCTTGACACTAATCTATACTGGGATGGACGCGTCCCTACAAAGGTTTGCACGCCAGAACTCCTTTTTAGAATTATCAGATGAGCAGAAACAAGCTTTGCTTGACTGAACTCTGCCGAATTGCCGGCTATTTCCGAAGCAAACATCACGGCTTTGTTGGTTCGAATTGCATTTTCTCTTGACGGTTTAGTTTAAACCCTATGTAGGTCCAAAGTCCAAGTCCAGGCTTTAAACGGCGTCCTAGTCTTTTCCATGTCGCACCGTCGGTCCGTAAAGTCAACGGGTCAGTAGAGCGAAGTCATGGCGACCGATAAATATTCGCTGAGCCTCTCCAAATAATAGCAGTTTCTAAGTTTGCATTTCTAAACTAGCTTCACACAAAACAGTCATGTGATTATCGAGATCGTGGCTAACATCGTTCAGATAGCTGGACCTTTTTTGGCAATAGCAGCTCTGAGAATCCAAGCTTAACTAAAAAACTTCTGTTATAAGCCGTGTTGTTTGTCATCGGGCGAATCGACTTACGCCCGAGCGAAACTGAACTTCAGACGAATCGACTGTGGGATGAAACGAGCCACCAATTATATCAGTAAACTAGGGGGCCATCCACTCTCTTGCTAAACAGACCAAAATATCATACTACTGGTCCACTGCCGCTGCTACTATGTTTGCCTTGTTCTTTTTGCCTACTGCCGAGCCACAAATGACTCCCATCTCATGTATTTTTCGTTTTCCATAATCACTGCCCAGCCAAGCAAGTCAGTAACAAACACGGTTTCGAATGTAGTCTCTGTTGTAGTTGCGCCAATTTTTGAAGCTAAGT